ATCAGAGGTTGGTAGGTAGACTTATTTATCTAGCCAATACTAGACCAGACATTTCATTCACTGTTAGCCGAGTTAGTCAGTCATGCACAGACCATGTTAGCCCCATCTTAATGTAATTTATCATATTCTTCAGTACCTCAAGTCTTGTCCTGGACTTGGGTTGTTTTATGCATCTGGATTTCAGACTGGTTTTCTAGCATGTTATTCAGATTCAAATTATGGGGGAGCGTGTGATGGTCGATCTACTATGGGCTTCTGTACTTTTTGAGAGACTCATCTTATCTCTTGGAAAAGCAAGAAGCAGTCAGTTGTCTCTCGCTCGTCGGCAGAGGCAAAGTATCGGGCACTGGCACTTGGCACTTGGCACTTGGCACATGTGAAATTATCTGACTACGATCGATTCTTGACGAGTTGGAATTTTCAGTGACTTCTTCATCTACATTATATTGTGATAATCGATATATTATTCAGTTCGCTTCTGACTCTGTATTACACGAGAGGACGAAGCATATAAAGATCGATGTTCATTTTCTTCAGGAGAAGGTTAGCAGTGGTATTGTCTCTCCATCGNCGGGATTTACACCCTGAAGTTTCTTGTGGATGGTTTTATTGATCGTCATAAGGCTAGGCTTGTGGCGAAGGGCTTTACTCAGGTACCAGGTCGTGATTTTGGTGCTACCTTTGTCCCCGTGGCAAAATTGACTATTGTTCGATTGATTATTTATGACTGCGGAGTACCCTTAGCCTATTTATCAATTGGATGTGAAAAATATATTTCTTCACGATAATTTGGAAGAGATTATTTATATGGATGCACCGTCGGATTTTCGTGGTGAGTGGGAGTATGTTAGAAAAGTATGTCGACTGCGTAAGTCTCTCTATGGACTGAAANGCTTTTATGGTGAGAGGGAGTATGCTAAAAAGGAATATCGACTGCGTAAGTCTTTTTATGAATTGAAACAGTCACCACGAGCCTGATTTTCTCGTTTTAGTGATGTAGTTGTATGTTTAGGATTTACAAGATGTCATTCTGAACATACATGTTTCATTCGACGAAATACTTCTGGACGGTATGTCATCTTTTTGATATATGTTGATGATATTGTTATTACTGGAGATGATATTTTTGGGACTGCGCAGGTCAAGATAGACCTTGGGAAGACCTTTAATGTGAAGGACCTTGAATTTTTGTGATACTTTCTTAGGATTGAGGTTGCCCGTAGCAGTAGGGGTATTATTTTTTCTTAGAGAAAGTATGTTCTGGATCTTCTCTCCGACACTGGGATGCTAGGGTGCAAACCGGCATCATCACCCATGATTCCAAACCTGAAACTTACTGCTGAAGGTGAGGAGTTGAGAGATCCAACTATCTATCAGAGGTTGGTAGGTAGACTTATTTACCTAGCCAATACTAGGCCAGACATTTCATTCACTGTTAGCCGAGTTAGTCAGTCATGCACAGACCATGTTAGCCCCATCTTAATGTAATTTATCATATTCTTCAGTACCTCAAGTCTTGTCCTGGACTTGGGTTGTTTTATGCATCTGGATTTCAGACTGGTTTTCTAGCATGTTATTCAGATTCAAATTATGGGGGAGCGTGTGATGGTCGATCTACTATGGGCTTCTGTACTTTTTGAGAGACTCATCTTATCTCTTGGAAAAGCAAAAAGCAGTCAGTTGTCTCTCGCTCATCGGCAGAGGCAAAGTATCGGGCACTGGCACTTGGCACATGTGAAATTATCTGGCTACGATCGATTCTTGACGAGTTAGAATTTTCAGTGACTTCTTCATCTACATTGTATTGTGATAATCGATATATTATTCAGTTCGCTTCTGACTCTGTATTACACGAGAGGACGAAGCATATAGAGATCGATGTTCATTTTCTTCAGGAGAAGGTTAGCAGTGGTATTGTCTCTCCATCGTTCATGGGGACCAGTGATTAGGTTGCGAATATTTTCACCAAACCTGTCATTCTACCCAATCTTCAGAACTCCATTGTCAAGTTTGGCTTAGTTGACATTTTTGTGCCTAACTTGAGGAGGAGTGTTGGAGGTATAACAACCTAGTTAATTNTAATGTGAAGGACCTTGAATTTTTGTGATACTTTCTTAGGATTGAGGTTGCCCGTAGCAGTAGGGGTATTATTTTTTCTTAGAGAAAGTATGTTCTGGATCTTCTCTCCGACACTGGGATGCTAGGGTGCAAACCGGCATCATCACCCATGATTCCAAACCTGAAACTTACTGCTGAAGGTGAGGAGTTGAGAGATCCAACTATCTATCAGAGGTTGGTAGGTAGACTTATTTACCTAGCCAATACTAGGCCAGACATTTCATTCACTGTTAGCCGAGTTAGTCAGTCATGCACAGACCATGTTAGCCCCATCTTAATGTAATTTGTCATATTCTTCAGTACCTCAAGTCTTGTCCTGGACTTGGGTTATTTTATGCATCTGGATTTCAGACTGGTTTTCTAGCCTGTTATTCAGATTCAGATTATGGGGGAGCGTGTGATGGTCGATCTACTATGGGCTTCTGTACTTTTTGAGAGACTCATCTTATCTCTTGGAAAAGCAAAAAGCAGTCAGTTGTCTCTCGCTCATCGGCAGAGGCAAAGTATCGGGCACTGGCACTTGGCACATGTGAAATTATCTGGCTACGATCGATTCTTGACGAGTTAGAATTTTCAGTGACTTCTTCATCTACATTGTATTGTGATAATCGATATATTATTCAGTTCGCTTCTGACTCTGTATTACACGAGAGGACGAAGCATATAGAGATCGATGTTCATTTTCTTCAGGAGAAGGTTAGCAGTGGTATTGTNAATTTTCAACGATTATATTAATAGATATCAACGAAAAGTGGTTATGTATTATACATGCACAAGTATCATGAGATGTAAGGAGAATATTCTAAATGTGAAGGAGTTCAAATGATTAAGTGANTTCACCAAACCTGTCATTCTACCCAATCTTCGGAACTCCGTTGTTAAGTTTGACTTAGTTTACATTTTTGTGCCTAACTTGAGGAGGAGTGTTGGAGGTATAACAACCTAGTTAATTAGAGTTTATTTTGTTTTACCTTTGGGTTAATCTCATTTTACAACCCAAAAGATTGTTCGAATCTCAATTTGTACCCTCAAAGATCAAAAATCTCAATTTACACCCTCAAAGATAAAAATTTGTATCAATGTGCACCCCCAAAGATCAAAAATCTCAATTTATACCCTCAAAGATAGAAAATTATATCAATGTGCACCCCAAAGATAAAAAATCTCAATTTGCACCCTCAAAGATAGAAATTTGTATAAATGTGCACCTAAAACTAAATTGATAAATTATACCTAGATCCCCTCATACTTGTCACTTAATCATTTAGATCTCTTCACATTTAGAATATTACTCCTACATCTTATGACATTTGTGCACGTATAACACGTAACCCATTTTCATTTATATCTATTAATATAATCGTTAAAAAATATAATTTTATCCTAATAAAAAATTATAATTTCATATTACCTTTTATTTTATGGGTTCAATATATTTTAAAGTTCAAAATCTAGTTTACCATTTGAATGTCTAATAAAATGTAAATATTTATATAATGTTTTTCATATTACCTTTTATATAAATATCTACATTTTATTAGACATTCAAATGGTAAGCTTGATTTTCAACTTTAGAGTATATCGAATCCACAAAATAAAAGGTAATATGAAATTATAATTTTTTATTAGGATAAAATTATAATTTTCAACGATTATATTAATAGATATCAACGAAAAGTGGTTATGTATTATACATGCACAAGTATCATGAGATGTAAGGAGAATATTCTAAATGTGAAGGAGTTCAAATGATTAAGTGACAAACATGAGGGGATCTAGGTATAATTTATTAATTTAATTTTAGGTGCACATTGATACAAATTTCTATCTTTGAGGGTGCAAATTGAGATTTTTGATTTTTGGGGGTACAAATTGAGATTTTAACAATCTTTTACGGTACAAAATGAGATTAACCCTTTATCTTTTTATCCTTATTGTAATCTTTCATTGACTATATATATATGGGGGTTCTACACTTAGTTTGTATCTCTTTTACATATCTCAAATAATAATAATTAATATAAACGATAAAAAAAAGTTTTTACCGCATATCTTAATTGAAACAGGCTGTCGATATTGCAGAGAGAGCTTCCTAAGTGCCTAATTGTCCTTTTGATTGTNGGCTATATATATATGGGGGTTCTACGCTTAGTTTGTATCTCTTTTACATATCTCAAATAATAATAATCAATATAAACGATAAAAAAAAGTTTTTACCGCAGATTTTAATTGAAAAAGGCTGTCGATATTGCAGAGAGAGCTTCCTAAGTGCCTAATTGTCCTTTTGATTGTGCCCATGTATGTAAGGTTTGTGCAAGTTGCAAAGTCCTTTTGACATTTCAATTTCATGACTAATTCCAGCTAAATAATTTTTAGGCTCTAAGCTAATCTAATTACCAATTGGAACGCAGTATTCTAATTGAAGTGTAACATAGAACCCAACAGAAACCCAGCAATCTTTTCTTTTCCTATGAAATATACAAGCCAATTGAACTGTGTCGAGGTATACAGTTCCTGCCACTAAATGCGAAGTGGTAGTGAACCATGAAATGAAATTGCTATCTTTATGAATTTGTCAGTTGCATTATAATTTCCGTAATATCACCTTGTGTTTTGAAACCATGGCACTGTCTATTGTACAGCATCCCATTTTTATGCTGTTATCTCTCTGGTTGCGTGTTCACAGATCTTGCGTCTTTGGTAATGCATGCTTTCTGTTTTTGGGAAACTTTGCAACTGTCACTGCAAGTTCCATTTTCATAACTTTGCAACTGTCACTGCTAGTTCCATTTTCGTAGACATAGTTATTTTACACAGTAATTAAGGAGATTGCACAGGCAGAAATCACAAAGAAGAAATTGAATAATTGCCACAATTGGGTGCTTACAAATGCAAGAGATTTGATATCAAATTCCAGCCTATCCAGGTCTTCTTATCAGAAGGGAATACAAAATTGAGCTCAAACATCTCCTTAGAAACATGCTCACCTGATTCACAAAATCCAACAAGTTTTGCAACAATTTCAGCGCTTTCCTGTACATGTTGCATGTTCAGTGGGTCTGTCCACAATTTGTTCACCAGTTGCAGCCGCCTCCTCTGTTTTCCTTCTGGTGGGATATCCCACTTTAGGTAAAGCATTTCTCTTTCTTCTGTAGATAATTTTAAACTCACTCTCTTTGCTAGATATTCCCTCTCTTGCTTTAGAGCCCTGATGCTATATTCAAAACAAAGTGAGTATTGGTTATATACATCTTAACCTCATTTAATCTGAACTAATTTCCCCTTATAGATTAAGAAATGAGAAAGTATAAACTGAATTCACCCATAAACACTTGAAATACCTTGATGAAACGGAGCCGGCAGGTTCATCGCCTAAGAGTGCTGGACTTGCATTGCCAAGCTCTGCCAAATGCTGCTCCAACCATGTCAATCTTCTAAGCTCAACTTCCATATATATCTGATCAGAAGTGTCTCCTCGAAATAACAAATAAAACTGGGTGCGGTGCACAATTGACACATGGCACAAATGCCATAACATGATAATTTGCTTTCTTTGATCCTCAAACACCAAATGCCATGGCATTGGAGATTGATCAATTATATCAGCCTCATCGCTTTCAGACTCATTTGCCTCCAGCTCCAACACCTGGTCCCATATGTCAAACAAATTGGAAGTTATCTGACAATGTTAAAGCCACATTTTTTGCATCAGTCATGCTAAAGGGATTGCCTGACTAATACATAAAAGAGATTGCCTGACTAATAATTACAAAATGCAAACAATATTCAACCAATGAACCAACACTCAACAGAAACCCAGAAAATAAACTTGCTTTCAAACCGCTCGCAATTCCAAGAACCTATTTATCGCGCCAAATCAGTGCTTGTCTCTTGAATAATGATCACTGCATTACGTCTTAAGAACAACACAGCTCAAGGGTTGCAAATGTGGTAAAAGTAAACACATTCTGTAGATCTAATTTGTAGCAGAATATGAAGGAGCATCATGAAACAACAAATACTCACCTGGCAAACCAGGAGCTGCTTTTGGTATTGTAGCTTCGCTACACGTTCTTTCAGCTCAGTAACATAAGCTTTAATGCTCCGAATGTTCTCTTCAGCTGCTGTCTTGAACATTTTTTGCATTTTCTTCACATTAACTGGGTTTTGTTGCCTTGGTGCAGGAGTACCCTCCCTTGATGAGACCCAGTTGATTTCTTCACTTCTAGGAGGAGTGGCTTTATGCTTTCGCAATGTCTCACCACCAGAAGTAATAGAATTACTCTCTGGTGCCTTGTTTTCAGTATCACATTCCATTATTTTGCGAGAAGAAGACATAGGTGAGCATGGAGACCGTATTATTTGTGGCATATTGGAAGTATTGCTCAAGGTGAAAGGAAGTATCTTTTTCTTCTTCTGTTGAGACTTGAAGTCCGGAGTCTCCTTACCACTCGGCAAATACATGACTAATTTGTCTATAGATTGCTGAACATTCTCAAGCTTCTCTTCCAGAGATGCAATATTGCCACCTTGAGAGTTCAACCGAGCAATCTCTTCCTTCAAGCTGGATTTATCCTTGATCTCAATTTTGTCAAGTGTGGAGCTAACTGCGTGCATGTCCTTAATTTCTGACAAAAGCTTTGCTATAGTTTCAGCAGCATCTTGACTCCCCAATCTGTGAGATGAAACCTCCTTGTGAAGCAATTCAAGTGCACGATTTGCTTCTTCACCAAGCTGCCTCTGTCTCATCTCAAGCTTTCGAATTTCATGCACCAGCATGGATGGATCTGTAGATGTAGCTGACTGCCTCACCATTGCCTGCCTTCCCGGTAACTTTCTTGTCCGGTTTTCTGAAAGAGGTCTACCCAAATCTGATCCATTATCAGAAGTAAAAGAAAGACACTTTGCTACTTGATGAGAAGGCCCATGGTGGTTTGACCCCTGAAATGAACTAAGGTTAGAGATGATGTTTTCCACCAACAGAGAGATAGATAAAATGCTGAAGAGATATAGACGTATATACAAATATATATATATACACATACATATGGACAGAGGGAGGAGGAGAGAGTGTCACTCAAAACCCTCTATCATACCTTCAGCTCCTTCGGTGCTCTTCTTTCTAGTTCGAGTTGGGATTGTGCAAGGTCTCGCTGACGCTTCAGCTCATTCATCTCTCTCTCCATCTGTATATCAGAAATCTCTTTAACTATTGAAATATAAAGAGAATCGGTAAAAACTATCTTATGTTGAACTATGTGAACACCCACATTAAAGCCTCTTCAATTTCTCTTTTGAAAATTCGACGAGAATTAATGAGGAAAAAAGTACCATTTTTCAAAAAAGCTAAAAGAGAGTAAATAATGAAAGGTCAAACATTGGACATGTTCTAATAGTTAAGTAATAAAATATTAAATGTTCCCTGTTTGGTAGCTGAAGAAGTATATAAGCAAAGGAGACTTAAACAAAGTTATTTCACTTAGGTTAAAATGAGTAATTGTGTCTAAGTCCGCTTTGCTAATGCACTTCTTAGAATTAATCTGGTAGAGTAAAAGGTCCAAAAATTGAGACCTGCATACCTGCCGAATTTTCAAGTCCTTTTCCATTAGTAAAGACCTTAAACATGAAGAGGAAGAGGGCTCAGGACTTTGGAGCTCTGCTTCTAGTCTGGCAACTTCCTTTTGCAAATGCTTGACTAATTTCTTCTCTGCAACAACCTAACAATATGTAATGGTTTGCAGCTTAGAAACTGTAACAGTTCGATCCCATAGGTCGCAAGATGGAATTTTCAAGAATTAAATCCTCTCCCAATCCCTAATCCTCTCCCTCCCTCTCTCTCTCTCACACACACACACAAAAAAGTACAAGCACAAAAAATGCCACACACACAAAACCTACGCCGTACACCCACACATGTGCACAGATGTTACACTGTTACTACTTGCAAGAAAGTCTCAGCTAAATACAAAAGGCGTATCTATGAAAAGATCTTTAATTATACATGCTATTAATAACGAGATATATTTCTTTCCTCGTAATAGCTCTTTTTGTTATTGGAGGCAAAATCAGATCCTAATTACTTGTACAGTAGATTTTACACTATTGTTTGGAATTAGGATGCCCAAATTTTTACAATTTGTTCTTGTTTTTAACTTATCTCAAACATTCTGGAGTTAATTTGTCACGAGGAAACTGCAAAGAGAATAACCGATGTGCACCACATCTGGCTCAAAATAATAACTGCTTTATGAGCTTGGACATTTTTCATTTCCATATTTTTCATATTTACTGCAGCAGTGTGTGTAAAATAAACTTTTTGTCCACATACCATGTTTACTAGGGCACTGTTTGTAACTTCCTTTGCACTTGTAGCAAATGATAGTGTATTCCGTGATTGCTCCACATGGCTTAATGCAGGACTCATGGTNAAATAAACTTTTTGTCCACATACCATGTTTACTAGGGCACTGTTTGTAACTTCCTTTGCACTTGTTGCAAATGATAGTGTATTCCGTGATTGCTCCACATGGCTTAATGCAGGACTCATGGTGCAAATTATTGCCGTTCGCGCATTTCCCCCAAGAGAAGGCTGCAATATTCTTGTGAGTTTTGAATCCCTGTAAGGTATATGACCACTCCTTTTTCCACCACTGCATCAGAAAAAAAAAGCCCTATAAGAAAACAAGATTACATGCATTCATTCCTTCAGTCCCACAACAATTTATAATTTGCCTTGTGCACCCTGATACTTCTTCTTTCTTTTGATAAATCTTTGCCAAGGGATCACAACCCACAACAACACAGACTCTATTCATAAATAAAATATTAAGCTAATAACGTGAGAAATTGATCGTTTTTCACCATGATACACAAAGATGCTCATAACTTATCTGTAAGGGGAACAATATCCATTACTTATCCGTGCATCGTTTATCTGCCTTTCAGATGCTTACCCTAGCTTCCTAATTACAGTTGTCAAAGTCAGCAAGCTTCTGTTAATATGACTTCCTTCCTTCATCCTACTACCATCTGCATTCGTTTGAGAAGCACGCTCACTCCCAGCAAGATCCACAAGATTCTGCAAAATTCCAAAGTTCAAATTAACACAACCAAATTATGGTTAACAAAAAAGGACTTGAGTGACTAAGATAAGAGAACATACCAAACTTGCTAAGAAAGATTTCACACACCCTGAATTTTCTCGAAGACTACTCTCAATGGTCTGGAGAAAAAAGAAAGAAAGATGAATAATGGGTCAAAAGATGTTAGCTGCAAGCAAGGGCATTCAAACCTCCTCAAATTGTTCATATCTGAGAAATAGCACTTACAGTATAACAAGAGGGACCAGAAAAAAGTGTATAAAGGCTTATGATAGGGACTCCTTACTTAATTATAAGCAAGAGGGTAAATCTTTCTTTATATCAATAAGGATACTAGTAATATTCAGAGATCTCTACGCCAATATATACGAAAAATTTTAGAATATTTGTGACAGTAAATGAAGAGTTAATAACTGATAAACTGGTTTAAGATGAGAATGCAAAAACCTTTTTAAGGAGCATGGGGGGCATTTCAGAAGTTCTTTAAAATTATGTGTAAACTAAACTCTTACATTCATGAAGCGTGACCCGCCCCCACCACCTACCCCCCCACTCTTAAAAAAAAAATTCCCTCTCTCGCAAGTTGCAACTGTCCCCCTACGACTTGTCCACAGAGGTTGCCCCCCCTCCCCCTGAATCTCATTCTTGCATACATCCCTGCTTGCATTACTTGTACAGAATGTCTAAATAGAATGTGAATACTGGCATGTCCATAGGTAGGTTTTCTCGTGGCTAGTCAATTTTCTTATTTTTAGTTAGCTATAACTGAATGGGAAAAAGTATAGCATGCAAAAGTTCATCAATAAGTCACACAATGAGAATATATTATTCAAGCTTACCAGCCTAATTATCTGATGGGATCTTGAGCTTTTATCATTCAGAGCAGTTTCACCAACTTGCCTCTGAGCTGCAAACACACATATTAGACAGTATAGGATCATAAGAAACATTGTGAAGCATGGATATCCATGCATGCACACACACACACTTTATTTGTTGGGGGAAGGGGGAGGAAAGAGGGCCTGGACATCTAAAATTATATTTTAATCTCAGCAGAGTTTGGATACATCTTAGCTTTCTGCAAAATGATTTGGTCATATTATTGTAAAGTTGTGATGCTTCAATGGAAATGTGAGAAAGGCAGGAACTATCACTCCCAGACACCATAAAATAAACTAAAAATGGAGTATTACCTTCGCAGATACCAATTAAGTGCCTCAGATGTTGGCCATCCTTAACAATCTCCTCAATCAGTTTCTCCACAATAGTCCCTTTCTGTGATAAGAAAATTTACATTTTGACAAAGAAATTTAGAGAGAACAATCCAAAAGTTTCATATTCAGTATAATGTCTATTTGGTGATGTGTTTACCTCAGGATCATCCAATAGGCGAAGGGGGCCAGACTCATGATTCAAAAGGTCTACTGCAGTCTCATTGTAGATTTCCAGTGCTGAAAATTTTAGTATGAAGTCCCTTTCTGGAGTCTATGAGACATGACAAAAACAAAAGTGAACCATCAAAGATTTTAACTAACAGAAGAAAGCTTATTAAAAACTCTAGTCCTGCATGATATCTAGTGCTACACTATGTTTATTAAAAGCTCTAGTAAAGCTTACGATGTTGATGTGCTCATAGATGTCCTTGACAGCATTTTCAGTTATTCCCCGCATTGTGAAGGTCTTGCCACTGCTAGTCTGCCCATATGCAAAAATCGTTGCTGCAACACAAAAGGTTAATGCCAAACCAAATAACATGCAGGAAAACAGAATTGAGTCAAATGCAGGTATTCGGCTACCATTAATTCCATTCAGAGCAGACAGCGCAACATCTCTTGCCCCTTGATCATAAACCTTCTGAGTCGAGCAGCTTGGATCAAAAACTTTATCTGAATCACAAAAAAGTGAGCACAAATGAATGAAAATTTGATTAGACATATGATCGGATCTGAGGGGTTGGAGGTAATCATCAAATCTCACCTAGCCTAGTTGAAAGATTTGATATTAACGCAAAACAGATTGACAGGTCAGTTATAGATATACCAAAAGAGTATGGGCCAGTAGGCCGCTCGTGGTTCAAATTTTTTGAGATAATCGTGTGTTCATCGGTGAAATCCCAGGCAATAAGATCATAGCCCGCCTGTTCTTTAGGGCTCAGAGGCCTCACACGAATGGTAACAAGTATATTCTCCTCGCGAACTTTTGGACCACCTGGAGTACATGAAGGAGTCCTCCTGATCTTTGACGATGGTGTGACTGGTGTCCCAATTGTCATCTTCAGAAACTACCTTCATGTTCAAAATAACAAAGTTGTGATCACAATACAATAATCACTGAACCTACCCAATATAAACAATTGCAAAACCTCAGACTTGAATTATGGAAGAGACACAAGCAACAGATGAGACAGGAGGACATACGATTGTTATAAACCATATCTTGGTTGTCTTTTAAATCAAATTAAACAAATAATTTATTTTTTTCGATGTTATATGACAAGACCAAATTGGGCACTTGCAGTCCTATCATCGCCAATTGCAAACCAAAAAAATGAACTTTTTAAATATAGTTTCTGAGCAGAAACCCACTCCATACAAATAGTTGCAAAATGATGCGCTTAAACAATGGAAACTAACTATTGTAAACTAAACTTCAATGGTATCTTCATCAAATGGAAAAGGTGATCTTCAGTTGCAATAATAAGTAAAAGGCCAAAAAGAAAAAAAAAAACCAAATTGCGTATTTCAAATTCCTGATTATGTATGACAAAATGAAAACCCCACCCCTTTAGATTATATGAAGTGATGTTTAATTGGGTTATAATTTATAGGGAAATGGGCCAATTTGAAGTCCGAATTGACAATTCGAAATCCATAATTTCAACATACTAGTCAAGACTTAACCGCTAGATTGTGATGAACATGTTTATCCATTTTCAAGAAAAGCAACAAAAATCACCTGAAACGGAATCCAATCCAGGAAAAAACGTGGACGAAATATATACAAAAAGAAAACAGTTAACACATAAGAAACAATAAGTGGGTTGCTTAGAGAGAATTCAACAGAGTGTAAAGAGAAAAAAAGGGAGTTACTGAATTAAATTCTTGAAGACCGCCTGAAAGTCAAGATTTGTCGCAAGGGGCTAGGAAATTGGAAGAAATGAAGCCAATGGCAAGCGTTCTCTCTGCTTACGAAAACGGAGAGTCTTTGCTCTTTGTTCGGAAGATAGTTAGTGACTGATACACTGCATGGAGAGAGGGAGGGAGGAAAGGGATAGATAGAGAGAAACAGAGAAGAGAGTTTGTTTCGGAAAGGGTTTATCTTGTGTTTGTTTTGGGAATATACAGGAGGAGAGATTGCAACGGCTATTTGTTTGCTGTATTTATATTGAATTGAATTTTTTTTGTATGTATGCATTTATTTTATCGGTTTCCGTACACTTGGCTCACCTGAAAACGGATTTAAATTGAGCGGCTGGACAGGGAGTGGGGCCCGCCCACTAGTGATTCTAACTAAGAAAGGAGCTTCCCTGCCCTTTTTTTTAGTTTCTTATTGTTATTGTTAATTAATGACTAAGCAGTCCCCCAACCAATTCACTTAAGCCCATGGTTCTTTTTGGGCAATGGGATGGGCCGATCAAAGAAGCTCCGGTATTATTAGTAACTTGGCCCAAGCAAAACCATCCATAGGCCATTGCCACTTTTGGCCCACCCCCAGAGTCCAAGTCCAATCTCATTCTTTCAATCAGCATCCAAAGTAAGGCCGACCATAGAATCAAATTAGTGCAAGTGTGTGATTGGGGCAGTGTTGGTTTGTGACTTTTCATAACTGCTTCAAAACCAAACTTTTACTGTTCGAATTGAAAGGCAACAGCATTAGGCCGTTGCTGACTTTTTTGTGTCCTAACTTCAAATATTAATCTANGTCCGAAGTTGAACTTGTTTTTTTTTTTAAAAAAAAAAATCATTTCTAATGTTTGTAATATGTGGAAATTATATGTTATCACATAATAAAANTATTATTTTTTTTTTTAAGTAATGCAATTAGGCCTTAACAAAATAACCTAATTTATTTACCTAATGAGGTGAAAGTGACATGTTGTAATACTATTCTTGTGATTGTAACGGTTAAACTTCTTTATCAATAAATTAAATTTTTAAATCATATAGTATTACACCATTTTATTTTATCTGTTAGGATTTAACACGATTTAAATTCACTAACAAACACACACAATCGAAGAACAAATCAANAGCTTTTCGAAATTAATTGTAACTATAATTGCCTTTCTAAATTTTGATTCTTTAAAAATAACTATGATTCTCTACTGTTCAACTCCGTCAAAATTTTACTTTTAGATAGCTTCTGAAAAGTCCCATTAGATTCTATTTTACAGTTAGGCTTAATTTTAATTCTCTTTAACTTCAACTAATAATAAATTTAATTATTGTATTTGGTCAAAAATTCAATCTCTGTTAATAAAATTATTGAAAAGTTCAATTTTGGAACCTATTCTCTCTATTAATCAAGGCAAGGCAAACCCTAAAGCTAGATTCGTTTTAAATTTCAACGATAAAATGTAAGTTGATGATAAAATAGTGGTCAAGAATAATATATTCTTTTGACTGTTAATGGGAAGTTGGAGGAAATTTTAATCGTAGGATGGCAGCATTTTCCTTTAAAAAAAGAGTTAGTGAATCCAATGAGCTTGAGTCACCCGGGCCGGCCCAGTGTGGGTTTTACAAAGAAAAATGTTACTGGTTCTCTACTAGCCATTTTTTATTTTGTCGAAGATTTCAAGATATTAACAATAGGGCCGGTGGTGGTTCTATAGAAACTGGAGGCTTTAGCTAGGTTGGTGGACATAAGTGCGGCTTCAACTTTATCTACATATCTCATATATATATATATATATATATGCATAGTAAAAATGAAATTTATGGGTTACCCACCACCTTAGATAGATACTAAATAGATAGATCTGTAATTTAAATATATGCATGGGATGTTAATTTCAAGATAACTACAATCCAGCAACATTTAGACAAACGATCCTAGCCAAAAAAGTAAGTATTAATCCATGGAGCTAGGTAGGGAGGTTAGGTTTGGACTTGGACACCCTTCAAGTATAAGACAAGTGCTCAACAATAAACACCAGGCCAACAAGATTTTTTAAACGTGTGTCGTCGAATCCACCAATGTGAACGACTCCGTACTGCCCCCACAAAACCATCAAAATGATCGATCCACATCCACTGTTTTCTCTCTTTCTACTAATTATAATTAATTAATATAGTTTATGAGTTAGTGGATGCAGGTCAACATCTTCTCCTCGTCAGAAATTACCCACTATCGGAATTAATTATATGATAATCTTTTTATATTATAATATAATAATGAGGGTCATTAATTCATTATCATTCTTTCTTCGGGGCCACGCCACGCCAGAACCTCATGCTACTGACCCTATGCCAACTTCTTATTCAGTGGCGGAGGGACACAAGGGCCAGGGGATCAGGCCCACCCTCAATTTTTTGGAATTTTTTATATTAATATATATATTATTTTGTTAAATATTTTTTAAAATAATTTTATTGTGTCAATCTTAATATTTTTTATATAAGTTAACATAAAATGACCGAGCATATTACACACGCTTTAACCATGTTTGCATATATTTTAGACATATTGAAACTTATTTTATAAATTTTTTTTATATAAAAAATTACAAACTTCTTTAAAATTAATATTGAATCAAAAGTAAGATTATTATATNGGTCCGAAGTTGAACTTGTTTTTTTTTTAAAAAAAAATAAAATCATTTCTAATGTTTGTAATATGTGGAAATTATATGTTATCACATAATAAAATATTTTTAATTCTCTTATTATTAAAAATCAACTGTCTAGCTAATTGTTTATCAGCTAATAGTTACAAATTTTGACTTTATTTCTTTTAGATTAAATTTGAGAACATTTCTAATCTGGGTTAGATTTTTAATTAATTATTTTTTAAAAGTGCACAAATGACCATAGAACAACGAGAGTTGGAATATGTAACTTTTCGAAATTAATTGTAACTATAATTGCCTTGCTAAATTTTGATTCTTTAAAAATAACTATGATTCTCTACTGTTCAACTCCATCAAAATTTTACTTTTAGATAGCTTCTGAAAAGTCCCATTAGATTCTATTTTACAGTTAGGCTAAATTTTAATTCTCTTTAACTTCAACTAATAATAAATTTAATTATTGTATTTGGTCAAAAATTCAATCTCTGTTAATAAAATTATTGAAAAGTTCAATTTTGGAACCTATTCTCTCTATTAATCAAGGCAAGGCAAACCCTAAAGCTAGATTCGTTTTAAATTTCAACGATAAAANGGTCAATTTTGGAACCTATTCTCTCAATTAGTCAAGGCAAGGCAAACCCTAGAGCTAGATTCGTTTTACATTTCAACGATGAAATGTAAGTTGATGATAAAATAGTGGTCAAGAATAATATATTCTTTTGGCTGTTAATGGGAAGTCGGAGGAAATTTTAATCATAGGATGGTAGCATTTTCCTTTAAAAAAAGAGTTAGTGAATCCAATGAGCTTGAGTCACCCGGGCCGGCCCAGTGTTGGTTTTACAAAGAAAAATGTTACTGGTTCTCTACTAGCCATTTTTTATTTTGTCGAAGATTTCAATATTAACAATAGGGCCGGTGGTGGTTCTATAGAAACTGGAGGACTTAGCTAGGTTGGTGGACATAAGTGCGGCTTCAACTTTATCTACATATCTCATATATATATATATATATATATATATGCATAGTAAAAATGAAATTTATGGGTTACCCACCACCTTAGATAGATACTAAATAGATAGATCTGTAATTTAAATATATGCATGGGATGTTAATTTCAAGATAACTACAATCCAGCAACATTTAGACAAACGATCCTAGCCAAAAAAGTAAGTATTAATCCATGGAGCTAGGTAGGGAGGTTAGGTTTGGACTTGGACACCCTTCAAGTATAAGACAAGTGCTCAACAATAAACACCAGGCCAACAAGATTTTTTAAACGTGTGTCGTCGAATCCACCAATGTGAACGACTCCGTACTGCCCCCACAAAACCATCAAAATGATCGATCCACATCCACTGTTTTCTCTCTTTCTACTAATTATAATTAATTAATANATCACTATCGTTATCTTATTTTTATATTTATTATCATTACCATCATCATCCCACTACGACCCGTCACTCACCGTCAGCACCCATCACTACCCATTGTCACCCACCATTGCCACTAACCACTGTCACCTACTCCAACACACCTACCACCACCAACTGTCATCGCCCACCATTGCAGCCATCCACTGTCACCTATCTCCACCATGCTTAACATTGCCGCCATTCATCACTACTCATAACACTGTCGCCTAGAAGCACCTATCGTCGCCCCACTACCACCATTATTACCACCACCACCATCGTCACCGTCCCACCACCACCACTGCTAACTACCATCACCGTCGTCCACCACCACTGTTGTCACCCACTGCTGCCATTATCATTATCGTCACTTAAAATCCACCACCACAATCACAATTGCCACCCACAGTTACTACCACCACCACCACCACAGTTGTTGTCTTACCCACCACAACCATCACTGTCTCCCACCACCACTCACCCTTACTACAATCGGTANAATCTTTTTATATTATAATATAATAATGAGGGTCATTAATTCATTATCATTCTTTCTTCGGGGCCACGCCACGCCAGAACCTCATGCTACTGACCCTATGCCAACTTCTTATTCAGTGGCGGAGGGACACAAGGGCCAGGGGATCAGGCCCACCCTCAATTTTTTGGAATTTTTTATATTAATATATATATTATTTTGTTAAATATTTTTTAAAATAATTTTATTGTGTCAATCTTAATATTTTTTATATAAGTTAACATAAAATGACCGAGCATATTACACACGCTTTAACCATGTTTGCATATATTTTAGACATATTGAAACTTATTTTATAAANATTTTTTTTGCTAACTTTCAGCGTCTTTTTATTCATCAGACTAATTAGATGTAATACCAACAGTTTACGTGGCTTGACTTGTTAACAAATTATTTTTTTTCTAAACTATGAACTTNATAATATTATTCAAATCTTAAAAGATAAACAAAATAATTTTTATTATTAGCGGTTAAGATCTTGTTAAATTTTACTTTAAAATTAATCAACAACTAATATTAATACTCCAAATTTAATATGAAAAATAGAGTTTTAAGGGTATGTTTTGGATGATTTCTTTTTAATACTTATAACCTTTCATACGTACTTTAAAAAAAAA